TGTTCTATGGCTATGTAATAACTTGGTGAATTTTAAAATACTGTTCGCATCGATATTGTTTATTGTTTTTTTGCTTGTACCAAAACATTACTACTTTTCACTTGTTCTTTTGTTATGTTGTTTGAACTAGAAATATCATCGTTTCGTATATTCCTTGATAAATGCATACATATCCCATATTGTTTTATATTTCTTTATTGTTAATATGGCTATGCTTATAAAATATATTAGGTATGGCTAACAATCCGGCAGATAAGCAAAGTGTGCCTTCTCATTCGAATGCAATGCCAAATGCTACATCAGGGATTAACATGAACTACATGTCTGCTCGACCACAGCCATTCACCTCACCTCCGCATACTTTCTCACCATTCCCGGCATGGGATGGTAATTATGGTGGGATGACACAGCCGCCAATGTCATACATGAGCTTGTTAGGCAGTCCACAAGGTTTGATGTTTCCCACGGCCAGTTCTCAAAGTAGTGGACCTAATCAATTTTCACCGAACACTGGTGATTCAGGTGGAAAGGATATTCATAACGTTGATGGTACGGAGCGCACTTCGCCATTGAAAAGAGGGAAAAGATTAGCCCATAAAAAAAAAGTTCCGTGTGCCAGGTTGAACTCAAGAGGCGTGGCTAATAAGTTTTGGCTTCCAGAGCACGATGATGTGCTTATTCCTTATCTTGCAGATTTAGCATTGGATGGCATGAAGGCAGACAAGAACTTCAAGGCTGAAGCTTATAAAATGACTGCCATGAAAATCAACATGCAATTCAGGACTGATTTCACTCACCTGCATGTCATTAACCACTTGAAATGTTTGCGGAACAAATTCAATGACATGAAAGCTTGCCTTGATATAAGTGGTGCTGGGTGGGATGAAACAAGTAAAATGATTACATTGGATGAGGAAACCTTGAAATCTTGGGCCCAGGTATAACAAATTCAGCCTTGAAGTTGTCACCTTCAATTTAATACATTTGATTTACTATTTATAAGTATTTATTATTGCAGGACAAATCAAATTCTAAGTACAAAGCGTACATTAACAAACCCCTTCCTCACTTCAAAAATTTACAAGTTATCATGGGTGATGATCAAGCCAAGGGTGATTTTGTTAGGCCCGTGTACGCTAACATTGGGTCTAGTAGGTCCATACCTATTCCCGATGATGAATGCGAGATTCTAGAGGAGAGTGAAACTGAACCACAGTCTGATGCTTGCAACCAACCACGTTCTGGTGCTGTTAACCAACCACAACCCACTAGATATAAGACTAAGAGTAAAGACAACATGACTTCATCATCTAACAAAAAAAAAAACAGAAAATCTAATCGTGAAGAGGAAATGCTATGTGCCTTTGTTGAGTCCATGTCTCATTCAATGCAAAATCAACACGTTATACACTGGACTGAGCAGTTGGCTGCAGCGTTGAAGGAACATAGGTCTGAATATTCCGAGGAGTTCCTCGATAGGGTTTTAGACCATTTATATGACAATGAACGTGAAGCTAGGAGGTTTTTCATAAAATCCAAGGAAGGTCAACAGAGGTACATCACAAAATTAGTTAACGACCAAGGTTGGCCGGATAGCTAGTTTGTTAGGTTTGCTTATATTTTGGTGGATATTGTTGTGTTAATTGCAAACTATTAATGTTGCAATATGTATTTTCATTATGAAGAACATCTATGGGGTTGTGGGATTGATCAATTGGTATATTTGAAATCTTTGTTGCAGGTAAGTATGGTCGTGGAATGTTCATTGGGTTCTTTGAATTTTGCCAGGGGTCTTTTGATATCAGGTGAGTTGGTTTGTGCCTGTTTTTTGCTTTGTGTAGCTCGTGATGCTGCTGCTGGTTGGTTTGTGCCTCTTTAGAGCTTGTGTTCAGCTCATGCTGCTGCTGCTGGTTGGTTTGTGCCTGTTTTGAGCTTTGTGCAGCTCATTTGATTTGCTGCTGGTTGGTTTGTGCCTCTTTTGAGCTTGTGTGCAGCTCATGCTGCTGCTGCAATGTTGGTTTGTGCCTGTGGCTTTTGCTTTGTGCAGCTGCTGCTGCTGCTGGTTGGTTTGTGCCTGTTTTGAGCTTGTGTGCAGCTCATGCTGCTGCTGCTGGTTGGTTTGTGCCTGTTTTTTTGCTTCGTGCAGATCTTGCTGCTGCTGCTGTTTGGTTTGTCCCTGTTTTGAGCTTGTGTGCAGCTCAGGTTGCTGCTGCTGGTTGGTTTGTGCCTGTTTTTTTTGCTTTGTGCAGCTCATGCTGCTGCTGCTGGTTGGTTTCTGCCTGTTTTGAGCTTGTTTGAAGCTCATGCTGCTGCTGCTGGTTGGTTTGTGCCTGTTTTTTGGCTTTGTGCAGCTCATGCTGCTGCTGCTGTTTGGTTTGTCCCTCTTTTGAGCTTGTGTGCAGCTCATGTTGCTGCTGCTGGTTGGTTTGTGCCTGTTTTTTGGCTTTGTGTAGCTCATGCTGCTGCTGGTGGTTGGTTTGTGCCTGTTTTGAGCTTGTGTGCAGCTCATGCTGCTGCTGGTGGTTGGTTTGTCCCTGTTTTTTTTGCTTTGTGCAACTCGTGATGCTGCTGCTGGTTGGTTTGTGCCTGTTTTGAGCTTGTGTGCAGCTCGTGCTGCTGCTGCTGGTTGGTTTGTGCCTGTTTTGAGCTTGTGTGCAGCTCATGCTGTTGCTGCTTCGGTTTTCATTGCCTGTGGGTTACTTGTTGTTTTGGTTTGCCTTGCCTGTGGATTTCCTTGCACTTGATATGTGACAATGATGATGATCAACGTTTTCTGAGAATGCAATCTAACTTACATCGTTTATTATAACCAGATGAGGCAAAAGGGGATGAGATTGCAGCCTACATTGAATTGACAATGTCTAGGCGAGGCAATTCATCCTTATAATGCAATCTGTAATAAACATGTTTAAGTTATAGGTGGGGCAATCAATGATGAGAAGTTGATCTATTACTGAGCCATACAATATCAATTAGAATTTGTACCCAGTTCAAACAGCAGTTTTCATTACACCCTCAGTAGTTTTTGCAAGTACAGGTACATGACATGAAGTTTGTAATAATTAAAATAACACAAAAAATTGATAAGAAAATTGCAGAAATTTTCCAAACTAGTAGTTGATTTTCGACAAGTCTCAAATCTTTCTTCAGCTTCTTTGATTGTAAAATATATTTTTCTCCGTACCTATTTTCTTTGATATATTGGCTTCCTTGGTTGCTTGATGACTCTCCTCTTTCTTCAGCCCATTCGAAAAAATTACATTCTTTATTTGGGAATTTTGCACACCCCCAATAACACCTACCCTTATTTTTACCATTCTTGCACACTTTCATCGGGGTTCGGAGATGGCAGTCGCAATAAACTTCATAATTCTGCCAGCAATCTTCTGATATAATGGTCATGTCGAGGCAGCAAATTGAAGACAATGGAAATTTTATAAATGCTGAAAATGAGTTTGCTTGGATTAATTGTGGATGAATTGTGAGGCCACAAGCTGAATTTATAGCCATCATGGCCCTCTACTAGCCGTTGCTACAGTATTCCGAATTTCAATTTTTAAATCTGCGGTTTTTTGGCCATGAAGAGAACCGTTGCTGCAGTATTTTCAGCCAAAATTTTGATATTCCGGCGCTTCTAGCCGTTGCTACAATTGGTTTTTAATTGAAAAGAGGGTGGCAGTTGCTACAGTATCTATTCCCAAAAAAATTGGGTCTTTTGGAAGCAAACATGATATTCGGAATTGATTCAATTCTAAAAAAATGAGATTCCTAATCCTTTGGGTGAAACAAACGTAGAATGCAAAAAAAAAAGGATTCCATAAAACTAAAACTTGTCTATAAAAATTTTATGGATTAGGTTGGAATCCATAAATAAAGTAGGATTCCTAATCCTATTCCTACTCCCTATTGAACCAAACAGGCCCTAAGTCTGTGAATTATTGGAGCGCGTGCCATGCCAATACTACGGGCTCATTCCGGTTCATATCCAGATAAGAGGCTTGATATGAGTATGACTCTATCCAAATCCAAATCCTAGTGGCTAGTTCAATTATGTGAAAAAGGATGAAGGACTTTCGATCAATGTTCATGATTAATTTCTTCCTTAAGAAATAAGCTGGTTCTTTTCTGGCAATGAACCGGAATGAGCCCGTAGTATTTGCGTGGCACGAGCTCCAATAATTCTGATATCAAATTATTGGAAGATTTGGAGGGGTTTGAGTTCAATTTCCAAGATTTGAGGGGCTAATATGAAAATATTGAAGATTTGGGGGTTATGGAAATTAATAACCATTAATTATCTTTTGATAATAATTTTGGTGGTAAATGAAAACGTGTCATCTCAATGAAGATGTAGATTAGAGTAATAGTATTTCAACATCTTCAATCACTCAAGTAGATTTTAATGTCTTAGTGAGATAATTGATGTTAAAGTTCTATTTTGTTTAACTACTTGTACCAAGTCGCATGAGAAAACTAGCATAAGTGTATAACTAGATAGTAATAAAAATGCGTTAGTGTTTTCCGAAAAACAAAGTTTTTCGGTGATCATTCTGTATCAAACAAGATTTATGTTTGACAACTTCAAATAATTGTAATCTTCTCTAAAGAAAATTCAAAAAAGTAAACATTCCGTGTACATTCTTGAGATATTACTTCATCTCCTATTACAATGAAATATCTCCATCTAGAATTTAAGCATTATTCTTCTCAGAACTAATTTATACCGAGACACTCACACGCATCTAAAATATTCATTTTGGTTGTAAAATCCTATAACAACCCCTCTCACACTGTCATACATGAGATAAGGTCCCAAAACAAACGGCTGTAATGAAAACTCACATCTCCCCTTTGTCCGGTAGCAGTTATTTCAGGTAATTACTTCGTGTCGTATGCTGAATTGGACCAGTCACATCCTGACACCTGTAAAAAGTCACTCAGAAATGAGGGGGGAAACTTGAGATAAAGGAAACAGCACTATCCAAGTATCATAGCTTAAGTTCAATATGAGGCCCTTATGATTCTGTGTTAAAGAAAGAAGGAGAAACTCCACTCTCATGGCTTCCCTCCTCTCCTTCCACCTCCTCAAACTCACTTCTCCAATCAAAGCTTCCTCCTCATCAACCGTTACGACGACCACCACCCAATCTCCTCCTCAAAGTCTAGAACAAAAGTTCGGTCGAAAAGGGATAAAGTTCACAGAGAATGGAGATATGTCCTCTGTTGAGCTTACAGTTAGAAATGGAAGCTCGCTTAACCTTCGAATCCCTGATGGACTAATAACTTCATACAGGCCAAAGGTTTATTGGAAGGATGATGGATATGAGGAAGTTCTTCATACTGTAAACAATGGTGGTTTGGTTAAAGGTGGGCTCGGTTTGGTGCTGAATAATGAGTCTAAGTTGGGTATTAATGGGTCGCCTTGGTCTGCGTCGGAGTGGGTTGTGAAGGATACTGATTCTGATTCATTTGACGCTGTTCAGGTAATTTTTGTTATTTTCAGAACAATGTCAAACTTTCAATACAATTCTAATGTGACATAAAATGGTCTATTTTGTTTCTCAGAAATCCGTTGTATCGATGCATATTTTATATCAAACTGATGATTGCTTTAGCTAGTATCATCTATAGTTGCACAAAGCAAATGCAATTAGCATACTTTATATTCTTGTAGCAGCCATCATTCACTGAAATTTGAAGACTTTTATTTATTGAAGAATGCTTAACTTTGGCAAAAATCATTGCATTTGCAAAGTGTATGTGTGCTTGTAGAAGAACAGTAATATTTTGCAATTTAAATAAACTCATTCTTTTAACAATCGTGCTTTTCAATTTTTCAATCTGCAACTGATAAAAATCTGGCGGAGACATCTTTTATCTTCACGAGCAGAAAATAGTTCCACAACTACAGATAATTGAATTTTTTTTTTCCCATATCATCAAAGAATTTGATCTGAAAACAGTAGTTTGCTTCCATTTCTCATTACTTCTGAATCATGAAGTGTTCATCTTTTCCGTTCAGGTAGAGTTGAGCTGCACAAACGGAGATAACTCTCTTGACATCACATACATCATCTCCCTCTATCCTCTAAGCATGGCAACTGCAGTAGTCGTACAAAACAATGGTAAAAAACCCGTTAAGCTAAAAAGCGCAATTTTAAGTCACCTCAAGTTCAAAACCCAAAAAGGATCAGCAATCCAAGGTCTCAGAGGCTGCTCATATTGCGCACATCCTCCTTTATCTTCCGGTTTCAGTATTATGTCTCCATCTGAAGCTATGATGTCTGAATCTACGGGTTGGTTTGGTTCTTCTGAAGAGAATAAAGGTTCATGGAAAGTTGAGGATGATATGTATATAATGTTGAGGAGTAAGATCAGTAGAGTTTATGCTGCACCACCTGAGGAGAGATTGAAGCGTATTTATAACACCGCGCCGTCTAAATTTGAGACTATTGATCGGGTACATTCCTTTACACGATATAATTTCTCCGTTTATAAAATATCTCTAATGATTTACGTGTTCTCTTAAAGCTTTTCTCATGAGCTTCAATTCTTAGCAAATATTATTAGCTCTCTATTACCAGCAACCGCAGGGTGAAGTTTTTTTGACGCTTTTGCCATCAGAGAGAGAGAGAGAGAGAGAGAGAGAGAGAGAAATTTGTCTTTTGAGCAATTAGACCTCCTAAGTATAAAAGAGTCAACAAAATTCACTCAGATGGTATATCTAAAACAATAGAACTATAGGGGTCTATCTGTAATTGTGCAACAGTACAGGGGGTCTATCTGCAATTGACCCTTTAATGTAGTGTTTATATAGTTTACTTCATACAAGATTACATTAATCCTTGAAAGATACTTTCACTAGAAATTTAATTATAGTTCAAATGAAGAAACTTGTAGAGCTTTCCTGCACTTCCTTATGCACATATATGTGTAGAACCTGTATTTTTCTTTGAAGACTACAATTTTTCATATAGAACAGCCTTACACTTGCATGTTTATTTCGAGTTCTTGATATAATAAAATAATCTCTCACATGTGTTCTCATACTTGATGTAATCGACATAGGGAAGCAAGCTTGGATTTAGGGTGATAAGGATGGGGTATGAAGATTTTTACTTGGGGAGCCCTGGTTCTTTCTCAGAAAAATATGGAACTGATTACTTTATTTGTACTGGCCCTGCTTCAACTCTGGTGCCCGTGGATTTGAACCCCGGTGAGGAGTGGAGAGGAGCTCAGGTTATCGAGCATGATAATTTGTAATCATTTGTTACATCAAGATATAAATATAAATGTATTATAGTAAAAGTCAAGTAGTTTGTTTTTTCTATTTCCATCTCAGTTGCATTTTCTTATCACCGTGTTACTGTAATTAGAATCTTACAGCATTATCTTTTGCAAATTATTGTTTTCATGAAGTTGCGAGGTAGCTAGGATTAATGATTGAAAAGCTTGTAGTGAGGAAGCTACAGATACTTAAAAAAAAAAAGTTATGTGGAAGTGTTTGTAATTCTCATCTCATAAACAAAAGGCAGATGATATGTTTAACTTCATAACTAACTTAAATGATTATTACACAAGTCAGCTGGGTTTTCTCTATTGATTCCTGATGATGCATACAAGAAGCACTGAAAGGTACTAGAGAGGACTTTTATAGAAAATCAAGAAATCAGGTTGCTTTTGTTGGCTTGAAGTAGTCGAACTTGCTGATGGAGAGACTGCAGGAATTAAAACAGGTCTTTTCTTGGTATTGACCGAACAAACAAGAGAGCAGAACCTGCAGGAAAATACTATGGCCGAAAAAACAGAGCCTGCAGGAAGAAAAAAATAGAGGCAGGAACTTTTCTAGAGTTTATTCACGTTCTAAAAGAAACAAAGACTTGTTTACATATATATAAACACTTAGGGATAAGATTACAACTGTAATCTTTATCCAATAACTAGAAAACTCTCTACTAACTAGTATTCTATTCTAACTAGAATTCTATCTACTAACTAGGATTCAAACTACCAATCCGGACTGATTAACAACTCACAGCTTTCACGTTAAAACATATTATAGTTGAAAAGAATCTGAGTCGGCAAATGGAAACCATTGGCAAATGACTTGCATGGTCTGAAATCACCAGGAGCTGCGGGAGTGGCGTAGGCAGGAATTTTTTTTACCCTGGGCAAAAAATCGCTAGGCTACGCCACTGCTAGACTGCCTCCATCACCAGCGTCCTCCTTGGTTTCCACGAGAAGGCGAGCAACATGAGGACGGTGATCCAGGTCACCACCGTGGCCGGAACAGCGACGGAGAGGGCAGCGCCCATGGAGGAGGCCGAAGACGCTTGGCGGTACGAGGACGGAGGGGTAGAGGCGCGGCCAACCAGACGGAGAGTATGGAGCTGGGGTGTAGAGGGCCAGCCTCTTTTTTGCCCTGCGGCAGCTGCCAGGGGAAGAGTCACCCTGGCTACGCCCTGGCTGCGGCGGGAATGGATCAGATACGACTCAAATGTGATACGTACCATCTCCGTATTTGCTTCCCAATTAGGGATATGTCTCGGTAAGGAAATCTCATGTCCATATCCTCCTAAGCCAGATACGTATATGGATATGGTCAGGATATACATGTGAATATACACGCGGATACAAAAAAATATGAGAAAAACAATATAAGATTGAAAAAAATATACAGTTCAATGATACGAAAGAGTTCAACAACATATTCATTATATCTGAAAAGCTAAGATTAGATCCTTGCATCATCGAAATCAACCTCAAATCCGTATCAAAACAATTGCAACTTTGCATTCAGATATTTCGAATACGGATCAAGATATTTCACTGCATACCCATATTGGTAACTATATGCTAACAATTTTATCAAAGAAGAAGCAAGGGAAATATGTCATCTATTGACTTAAGTGAGAAATTCAAGGAATACAAATTAAGCTTTTCCAGTACAACTAGGAAAAAGAAACAGAGTCCTTGAAGAGCTAGAAACTATAAAAATATCTCTAAAGACCAAATGGATTCATTCATACTGAAATTATCCAGATAAGGCTCTCAAGTCCCTAACTTCAACCCTAAAGCTTCAAACATCTCAGCATCAATATGACAATAGCCATAGTTGTGCTCAATCATTCTATAGAGCCTAATCCATGCAGTTGGAAAAAAGAAATCGAAAGAATTACTTGGTATATACTTCACTACCTTTTATGAGTGTTTTCTTCTATGACAGTGAAATAGCAAAGAAGGAACTCTGTCATTGTTAAAAGAAGTGGGTTTGATGAGTTCTATGCTTTCAGTCCTGGATACAGGCCATCTGCTATGCTGAAGCGATGAGTTCTAGATCCTCGAAATTTCTGGACATGAGCTCAATACTTATTTATGATCACAAAAATGTATAGTCATATCTTTGGTCATATATTTTTGACAATGTTTAAGGCTCAAAACACATCTCAACAACCGTATGGTCATGTCTCGGTTGTCATGCAGAAATGAGATCAAATATTAGATTCAAGGTTCAGAATGTCACTAATTGATACCGATATAACACGTGCACTAGAAATGTGCTCAATTAGTCTACGTTACATGGAAGTCTCATGTTAAAGTTTTGTGGTTTTAACTTAAAACAAAAGAACAAGATCTGGCCGCAAAGAACAAGATCTAAAAGCTAAAAAAAATCAACTGAAGATTAACAAAATTACTGAAGTTAACAAAAAAATAAAAAATAAAAATAAACAATAAAATTATTGTAGAGAGTAAAACCCTCGCCAACACAGAATATGCCAACATCTAGTGCAATAAATATTGAAAAATTGTAACCAAAATCCACAAGCTTCAAACCAAGAACATGAACAAGATAACACAAGTATTTTATGTGGCAAATCAATGGCCATTACACTATTTTAACAACTATGTACATGATTTGTGAGTTCATGAGAACACTCATCAATGAGTTTTTTTTGAAGTAAAAATAGGGCAAGCTACCCTATCATTGTATAAATCAAAAGATAAGTTTTTTACATCTATTATATCTAGTTGTGATTTAACGATAGATCCTAAATTGGTAGAGGAGTGGACCTATGTCGTCACTCTACACAATAGAGGAACAAAGTAAAATCACCCATAGATATACAAAAGAATATACAAACATGTTAACAGTTAACCTTCCATCACACCATTAAGTTAAACAAACCAAAAAACTAGAAGATAGTTCATAAGGGGATGCTATCTATGCAAAAACCAAAATAACTGTCAAACTCCGGCGCTGCTAATAATCTAGAGGCCGCCTTCTCCTCCATTGCTATCTTCACTTGAGGCGATGAGGTCGGAGATACCCCTTTCCCTAACAATGACCTTAAGCTTGCGAGCTCATTTTGAGGTCGCCGAACCTGTCCAAAAGGTGAGGTAGTAAGCAATCTTGGATGCTATTTGATGATAGCTAGGCATGGATCCATTGAAAATGAGATTATTGTGAGCAGTCCACGTAACCCAGCAGATGGTAGGAAAAACAATTCTCCATAAAAGCCTCACGGTAGGTGCAATGTCTTTGTTAAGACACATATCGAAACAATGGTGAATGGATATAAGGGGAGCACATATTCCTGTGATGGGAAGAAAAATGTCCTGGATCTGTGTAGCCGTCGAACAATGGATGAAGAGGTAGTTGTGAGATTCTGTGTCGCTGGAGCAGACAGAGCATGTAGGGTTACCAGACCATCCTTTAGCAATGAGCATGTCCTTGATATTAAGTTTAGACATAGAGAGAATCCACACAAAGAATTTAACCCTGCTAAGGAGAGGGTTGTGCCAAATAATAGAATGATATGGGTTACGGGTGCCTCCATCTAATATGAATGTAAGAAAGGAATTCGCAGTGAAGTTACCTGAGCGGGGCAATGGCCAAATGACTTCATCTCTAAAAGGAGCGAGAGAGAGATTAGTAGAATTTAACCATAGAAGAAGGTATTGAGTTTGGAGTCTATCATTTTGATTGGTAGGACGCCTCAAAATTAGCTTCCAATGCCAGTTACATCCTATGAATCTCCCTTGGAACTGAATGGAACCATGCTTGGAGAAGGCAAGATTGTAAGCCTAAGGAAAGAGACTAGCTAGGGAATTATTACATGTCCACTTATCCTCCCAAAATTGAATCCTAGAACCATATTACCTAGATGCCATTTGACTATAGCCGCAAAAGCAAGGTAGGTAGAGTGAACATCTTTCTAAAGTTTAGAGTTGTTACCTCTAGGGGGTGTGCTATGTGGGAATGGAGGATAGACAGATTGAAGGACTTAGCCGACAAGGCTGCTGTCAGTGAAATACTTCCATAACCATTTGGCCAAAAGGAAGATGTTGAAATTCTCAAGGTTGGAGATGCCTAGACTCCCACAAGACTTGGGGGAACAAACCTTCCTCCAGCTGACAAGGGCTTTACCTCCTGCATTGGTGTTACAACCCCTCCACTGGAAGTTAAGCCTAATAGAGTCCAAGCTCTTGATCAGCCACTTGGGGAGCCTAAAAAAGGACATATAGTGTACGAGAAGGGAGGAAAGAACTGAGTTGATGAGGACTAGGTGGCCTCCAAAAGAGAGAGGTTTGGCTTTCCATAGAGATAGTTTCTTGTGAAATGAGTCTATAAGTGGTTGCCAATCAGATTTGGAGAGGGGTCCTTTCTTGAGAGGAAGGCCGAGGTAAATGAAGAGGGGCGTGGAGAAAGAGCAATTTAATAAGTTAGCAAGGAGAGGCCCCCGACAGGCAAATTTACCACTATAGAAGAAGTTGGACTTGGAAAAGTTAATACCCAAACCTAAAATATCTTTAACATCGTAGATTATGGATTTGAGGGTTGATATGTTGGGAGGATCAACTTTACAAAAGATAAGAGTGTCATCTGTGAACTGTAGGGATCTAATATCGTTAAGTTTGCCTTTAAGGTGCAATTCGGAGAGATCACCATGGTCAATGCTATTAGATAGCAATCTGTTGAGGACATCAACTACAAGAATAAATAGCATAGGGGAAAGGGGGTCCCCTTGCCTGAGACATCTAGAAGATAGGAAGGTGTTAGTAGGATGCCCATTAACTAGCACCGAGGATCTAGAGGAAGATAGGATGTCAAATATCCACATACACCATCTATTACCAAACCCCCTAGCTCTTAGCAGGGAGATGAGAAAGTCCTACTGGACATAATCGAAAGCTTAGCTGAAATCTATCTTGAGGATGCATGCTTCCACTTTTTTGGAGAAATAATGATGCAGCATCTCATGACCAAGAACAATGGAGTCAAGAGTAGATTTACTTGATTGAAAAGCAGATTGAGAGTTGTCTACAAGGGAAGACAGAATGGGAGCTAGCCTAT